ATTTAGCAGAAGCAAATTTTGATTGTAACTTATTTCTAAAATTAGTTTGAACGTGTCTACTTTTTAAGTGTGCACATCCCCATCACCAATATCAGAATATATGATTTTTGTTTCCAGCAATGCAGAGAGAGAATTGGAAGCCAGTAATTAAAAAGAAGAGATTACTACCCACCACCAAGAATTCAGTATCAGGACCTTGGAGGCTAAGAAGATAATTAACACTGAAAGACAGTTATTCCAGAGTGACTTTTTTCATTTCTCATTTTTACTAATAGGAAATTTAAATTAGATTTTAAAGAATCAGTTATTTACCATATTTTCTCAGACTTAACTACTTATTTCTTGATAATATGCTTTAAAGTCATACGGACATGAAGAGAACATTATTGATCCTTGTATATACCTTAAACCACTGGCACAGAACACTGGTTTCATATTCCAAAATTTGTACGTAATTTTAAAAGATTAAGTACAGCCGAAACAGATGTTTAATACCTACTGTGGCTAGCTACTAAGGTCTTAACTGGCACGCAGTGATTTATTCTTGGGCATACAGCTTGTTGCCACATATACTCATTTTCAGATGTCACTTATTAAACTTTAAGAACAACTGAAACAAAAGTGCATGTAAGAACAACAGTGCATGTGTTTATATATGTAAATTTTAAAGTAAGTTTGTAAAGATACATTTGTAACTTTTTTAAAATCAGGAGCTCAGCCATTATCTGCAAATGTACTGTGAGACTATGGAAATAGAGCACTTCAATACAGGAGAAAAAACTGTTAACAGCATCATTCTGTATCCCGGTGCCTATAATGCTTTCACTAAGCGATTTAATTTTAAACAAGTACTTGTTCTAGTTGAATAGTTTATTATGTGCAAAAGCTCTTTCAAGGAAATAAATAACACCTCAAATACCCTAACTATAGGCAGATGCAAGAATACTAAATACTAGCCCTTCCTGGGGGAGAGGAATGGGACGAACAAGATGTATTCTAAAAAATAACTTTGCATCACTGAATTGGAAAGAAACCTTGCCAAACAACAGCCCACCTCAGGAACTACTGAAATGCATCAATACTACTACTTGGGAGGCTATACTATGCATTGGTGCACAGCAGGTGCTCAGTACTTGCTTTGTCTAGTTTTAACTCATAAAAAGCGAAGTTCAAATTATTGATCTTATGTACAGAAACCCAACTATTATTAAACAGAGAAATATGGCACATTTTGTTTGGTTTGCTTTGTTAAAATAATTCGATGATAAGCTTTCTTTAATGGAGGTCTTCTAACAACTAAATTTAAGTATCTAGAAATTAACAACAAAACCCGGAAAATTAATTACTCAACATTTTTAAGTTTGTAAAACAAATTTTCACATTATTCTCAAATTGAGACCTCCAGAAAGCAAAAAAGCTGAATCAGGAGTAGCAGATACTCAGAGAATTCTGCTTTTGTCATCTGCTTTACTGAATGATCCCCACTTTTGATTTTAGCAGACTGGAAAACACACAGCTGATTACCACGGTGTCAACGTTTTGGTTTCAACAGCCTTTGCAAACACAGTCATACACTGCCCAAAGAGGCCAGAAAAATATGTCAATTACTAACTGCCCAGATAGATGTGACCTAGGTGGCAGCCTTTATACACTAGGAACACAGGGACCACATACAGCATACTTGCAGAAAATAAAAACTACTTTGGCCTTTCAGATGTGGACTAAAATGATAGTTAAAAATATAATTCAGGGCTTCCCTGGTGGTGTAGTGGTTGAGAGTCCGCCTGCCGATGCAGGGGACGGGGGTCCATGCCCCCCGATCCGGGAAGATCCCACATGCTGCGGAGCGGCTGGGCCCGTGAGCCATGGACGCTGAGCCTGTGCGTCCGGAGCCTGTGCTCCACAACGGGAGAGGCCACGATTTTAAAATAAGAAAGTAATTAAGTTGGTAAAATATATAGCTTACAACCCTTACCTGTAAAAAGACTAGAGTAAAACTCCTCTTTCTCTTTCACAGAATAAATTTTACTTTAAAATTCCTAATGTTAGCTTGTAAAATTTAAGTTGAAAGTCTAACCTAACTTCTTATGTCTAGCCAAAGAATATAGTTTCCCCAGAGAATCAACGGTCAGCACACTACAAGTTGGTCAGCACACTACAACCCACAAACCCAATACAGCCACAGCTTATATTTTTGTACTGCCCACAAGCTGAGTGGTTTTTGCTTTTTTAAAGGGTTGTAAGAAAAAAAAAATGCAACTGATACCACCTGTGGCCCACAAAGCCTAAAATATTTATCATCTGGCCCTTTGCAGAAAAAGTTTGCCAGCCCCTGACTTATATCATCTATGAAAGTTCTAAATAAATGTCCTGTTCCTGCCAGCTTGAATATAATTTTTGTTGCTTGTGTTTTAGGTTCATGCTCAAGACCAAAACTTAGGGCATGAAGCGAGTAGCTGCTGATAAAATACAATAAGGATATGCATATTCATTTTGTTCAAATAATAAATAAGTAATAGCAGATGAGTAACAAAACACTCTGCAGAAAATAGGGCTTCAAATTTTCACAAAAACTGGAGGTAAATTAAAATTTATGAAAATTTACATATTTCATTTTCTCAGTTACTTGGAATAATTCTTTAAAGTCTTCTAAAACCATGCAAATGTCAAATTAATTTCAACAGAGAAAGATGAATAGACTTTTGAAAGGCAAATCAACAAGTCCATGTAATAAAGGGAAATCAAGTATCTAGGAAACTAAATATCTAAGTTATAGTTTAGCAACATAAATTACATAACGATATCAATAAAACAGGACAGAAATATAAGAAAAGCTGAGTGCTAGAAGGTTAAGAAAGTGCAAGTACTCCTTTGTATTATATCACTGTATATTTTTTCTGGATGATCCATAAAAATGTCTACAAAGCAAATTTAGGTTAATCCACTTGGTATCACACACACTACATCCCCTTCCCTACCCAACCGCCCCCCCCCAAACCAGTATAAAACCTAAAAATCTATTTAAAAGGAAACTAGGTAGTTTTCTAGATTAGCTATGAATGCTGTGGTATATTAAAGCATTAATGTCAAACACTTAAGAATCAACAGTACTTCTGAGATAGGAACCATACAACAAGGAAAGAAGACAGAGCTATTATTTTAGGCTCTTATCAAATGAGAGTGGAGGGCAACACTGCAGGAATAACAAGACTTCCTCTTACTGTCCTTTATTACCTTTCTACTCCAAATGTGGTCCATGTACCCGAGAGCTTGCTAAAAATGCAGAATCACAGGTTCCAACCTAGACCCTCATTCTAATTCAGAATTAGAATCTGGATTTGAGTAAGAAGCCCAGTTGATTCTTGTGCGTATTAAAGTATGAGAAGCACTGCTTTATTTGCAACCCTTTACAACATCAGGCAAAGTCTTAGAGTTTTTCTTTTCTTTGTAGAGTGTAAACTAATGTGTCCACTAGTCTAAAATGTATACTTTAAAAGTTACAACTAATACAAGTTAATAAACTGTTAATAGTATAATCTAGGTAGTAGGTTTGCAAATGTTTTCAATAAAATTCCTTCAATTTTATATCTGAAAATGTTTCATACAAAAATGGGAAAAAAAGTTATAATATTATAATCATGTTTTCTGAGTACCTCCCAAGGGAAATCAAGGCGTACGGTCAGAGAAGACCAACACTAAGAAGACAAAAACCAAACCTCTTCCCAGTCTTTGGGACCTGGGAATGATATGAATGAAATCTTAATTCCTCCAAAGTAAAGTGAAGTAATGTATACACCAAGTATTTCTTTAACTTATAAATCAGGTTTTAGAATGAGATCATCTGTATTACGGTCAAAAACTATTCTAATTCAGCTTTTAATCCCAAAACGAAGACTTAAAACAGAATTCATTGTTTTTTTTCACTGTGTACCAAATTTGTACAACTAGAAAGTGGTATGTATGATTTTCCACTAGGGAAACAGACATATATACTAGCTGAATGATGGTTTACTTTTAAATTTTTACCCCTTTACAAAATTCAGTGAAAGGTCTAGAGGGTGTTTTTATAAGTTTAACCAAGTTGTTCATCACTCTTCTTAACTTCTAGCATTATAGAGTTAAATTCCATGAAATTGGTTTTCTGGGCTCATAGGTACAAATAACCAGACAAGGCCCCAAACAAATGTTCATCTTGTATGGAACATATTAATATTCCATCATAACCTTATATTTTCCTTTCTAGGAATTCATTTTTTCTATATGTTAAACTCTTATTTCATACAAATAAGGCTAAATAATATCAATTATTTTATTTTACCTAGAGAAAAAGTTACTTTTAAAATAGCTTCTGAAACAAAATTCAGGATCAATCTGGTGTTATTTTTTTTCTCAGAACACAGTAAATGAATAACTGGGAATTTCTATTTACTTTCTAAATATTCTCTTGCTTTAATAAAAGCTTTCCTGAAAAATATATCCTTTAAAAAAAAATTCTACCTAAGTAAAAGTCTTCAAATACAACAAAATTTAATCTAGAAACATATGACATAATACTCTTAAAAGCACTTCAAAAATAGGAAACTCAAAATTTGTTTCCCTGTTCTTTTGACTTTATAAATAAAACAGTAAAAAAAAAATTCCCACGTTTCTCGAATCCTGACTATAACATGTGCTGAACTGTTCAACGTAGAAAAAAGCCAAAGCCAAAGATAATACCACGGACACTGGAATAAGAAGTGCTGCCCTCTCATATCCTTAAGAGAACATTTACCAAGTAAATATTGTTATATTTCCTATTTTACTATAATGGAAGAAAACTGATAAATTACATCAACTGATATAAAAGTTATGCTATCAGGTATGTACATTTATTAATATTCATGCCCTCCTGCTCCCAAAATGACATTATTAGAATATATATTAGTAAATAGTGATTAATGATTAAAATCACTTGATATAGTTTGAGAGAACAGATTTGTATTTATTACAATTTTACTTACCTGTCTTGTCTTTGCAGATGTTTCAATAAAAGGAATTCCATAACTTCTTGCTAAGTCCTGAGCCTGTTTTGTGTCTACTGTTCTAGAAGGCAAATCACATTTATTTCCTACTAGAACCATAGGTACATCTTCAGAGTCTTTAACTCTTTTTATTTGTTCTCTGGGGAGGGAAAAAAAAGTTACATCAGGAATTAGTAACAAAAATCTTTCAAAAACTATTTATAACTTTGTCTCATAAAATATGGTTAAAAGACTTTTAATGTAATTCCTAGTTCCCATCACACCAAATTTTCCTTTCTCCTCCTTCTAGTTATTTTTCTCTATCCTAAACAGAGAACTTCTATGTCTCTTAAAAGATCAAATACCTAGAAATATAGTAAAACTACAATCTAGTAGGTTCATATGCAGGTAGGTTACAATAAAACAGAAATATTGAAAAATTCTAGGCCAAAAAAGTACGAGGCCTAATTTTTTAAATTATAATCTTAGAAACATATATACGTTGTTAAATGTACACATATAATGTTTTTATAAAAATATGAATTACAACATTAACATAATGCTTTACCTTCATTCTTAAAAAAGAGAGCACCAAGTGGAAAGATTTTGATTTCTATATGAACATTTTAATAAAAGTAGTCGCTTTTATGCAAATTTGTCGAGATTCTTTAAAAACTGTATTGCTCTAATACTTCAATCTTATAACTTCAGAGTTGTGTTTTCTCCTTAATTATCTAAGGCCAACATTTATCTGATTCCAAGAAATTCTACACTATACAGATTTATTTTTAAGGCTATTTGAGTGGTGCCATCTCAATTACCTTTTCACATTTTTGTTCATGGTTTTCATTTTTATGATGGATCTAGCTTAAAGCCTTGTTTCTCAAACAGGCCTACCTTTCAATTCTAGCACTGCTACTAGGTGATCTGGAACAAGTTGCTCAACTGCTCTAATCCTTAAGAATTTCACTTGTAAATCAGGGATATTACCTACCTAACAAAAATTATTTTAAAATTTAAATTAATTTGTGCAAATTTGTGCATGGCAGTTAGCAAAGACTCAATAAAATGGAAAATACAATTACTCCTCAATGTCAACTTATTTTATTCAACTTAAACCCACCTATAATGGTGAATATCTTCAAATGATTTAGTATTATTTATGGCAAATACACAAAGAAAGCCCTCCCCAGTCCTCATGTACTGGTCCCTCATTGCACTGTACTCCTCTTGACCTGCTGTGTCGAGAATATCCAAGAGACAGGTTTCTCCATCAATTACTACTTGTTTTCTGTAGGAATCCTGAGAAGGGAGAAACACAGTCTGGGTTATTATGGTGCACCTTTTACTTCTAAAAAGGTGTTAGACACAACTTAAGAACCAAAAAACAACCCAATTCAAAATTGGGCAAAGTACGAGAATAGACAGGTCTCCAAAGAAAATACACAAATGGCCAATAAGCACATAAAAAGATGCTCAACATCATTCAGGAATTGCAAATCAAAACCACAATGAGCTACCACTTCACACACATTAGGTTGACTATTTTTTTAAAAAAAGGAAAATAACAAGTGCCAGTGAGGGTGCAGAGGAAACTGGATCCAGCAATTACATTCCTAGGTATATAAACCGAAAGCAGAAACTCAGACACTTGTATGCCAATGGTCAGAGAACCATTATTTATAATAGCTAAAATGTAGAAGCAATCCAAGTGTTCATTAAACAGATGAATGGATAAACAAAATGGGGGGGGCACGCACACACGCAGTAGAATATTGTTCAGCCATAAAAAGGAATGAAATTATGATACAGTCCACAACATGGATGAACCTTGAAAACATTATGCTAGTGAAATAAGTCTGACGCAACAAGACAAACATTCTGTGATTCCACTTATACTGAGATACCTAGAATAGGTAAAGTTACCGAGACAAAAAATAAAATAGCGGTTACCTGGGGCAGAGGAGAGGGGAGTTGGAGAATTGTTGTTTAATGGACACAGAGTTTCAGTTTGGGATGATGAAAACGTTCTGGAAACAGATAGAGCTAATGGTTGTCCAATATTGTGAACTTACTTAATGCCACTAAACTGTACACTTAAAAATGGCAATGATAGGGCTTCCCTGGTGGCGCAGTGGTTGAGAGTCCGCCTGCCGATGCAGGGGACACGGGTTCGTGCCCCGGTCCGGGAAGATCCCACATGCCGCGGAGTGGCTGGGCCCGTGAGCCAATGGCCACTAAGCCTGCGCGTCCAGAGCCTGTGCTCCGCAACAGGAGAGGCCACAACAGTGAGAGGCCCGCGTACCGCAAAAAAAA